TGGGCTAAATAAATTTTGTGCCTTATATATTTTGTTTCTTAAACCATGAACCATGGCCACGTTACAACCTTCAAAAGTCCTAATTGAAGCTAGGTTCACTATGAAAGCATACTTAGCGAGATTTGTGTTAAACTGACTCCTATGTTTGTTAAAATTATTAATCATCTTATCTTTTTCGAATATTCATCTTCTAATCTTCCATTTATTTTCAAAATAATCAATTTTGATTTCAAGAACTCGCATGTGCATCAAATGGAATTACTTTTTCAAAATGTACAATTTTATCTACGAACCAATGCTTAACATCAAGGAGATTTCGAAAAGGTCTGATCAAAGGCAACATTTCCAAGAAGCTTCTAATTAGAGGTTAAAGCATCTAAGGGGATACCATAAACATGGACAAGGACTAATGATCATAGGGGTATATCACACGAAGATACTATGGACAGGGGGTGATCATTCCAAGATTTAATCAACTTGGGTCAAATTTCAGAGCATTGTTCACTCAGAGGCATACCTTTCAAAGGAGCATTCCTTAATCAAGTCATATTACAACAGGGTATGACTCGGTTTCCTCGTCTTAACAAACCTATTAAGACTTTGATTCAGGGGAAACCTTCCAATATTTAAATGTTAGGGAAATGCGTGTCAAGTTTATCCTACTGCACGTAGGGTCCAAATTCTTCAAGCAACTTCAAGTATAAACTTTTAAAGTTTCGAATATTTGGGGAAATCTATGCCAAGTTCATGGTGAGGTCTAAGTTCTTTATGAGGGTACTTCCTCAAGATCCAGGAGAATGAGGGGCACCTCTTTCAAAATTCAAATGGTGGGGCAAACCACTGCAAGGCTCAATGAAAAGGAGTTGGTTAGAATTGGTTCATCAAAGTCGAGCCTTTTCAAGAGTCTTTTAATCAAGGGCATAATATAGTGGGGTCATTCACATTATGATCAAATTGTTTCCAAGTTCATATCAAATAGAATCTCCTCCAAGACCCTACCAACAAATTAGGGAAAGACAGGCCACAGAAAGCAAGCTCTTTGAGTACTTTCACAACCTCCAGGGGACCTCTCTTCTATGTCAACAATCTTCGAATTTGAAACGAGTATCGGGGAATCATGCACGCACAACACTCGACCACCGTGTGACAAGTAACCTTGTTGCATAGGAAAATCTCTGCACTTTAATCATCCATGATCCATCACAGGGGCACCATTCAAAAAGAATTCAATCATAAAACATAGGGCTGCATAAATCATGCATTAGGACTCTTCGATCCAAAAACCCAGCCATACTTATCATCTCATCCATCTGATGAAGCCCGACAGCATGGGTCGAGCATATCTCAAAAAGCCCAATTACACATTCGTATTTCAAAATCCAACATCCACTTACATATATCCAAGTCATTCATCACGTGCATCAGTCAATCATCTCATTTCATGCATCAATCAAATTTGCACGCATAGCATAAAACCTTGTTTTATGTGAAGACAATCATCATTGTCAATCAAGCTACAAATTCTACGTTAAATCTCGGCAATAGATTCTCCTGGTTGATCACGGCAGTTGATTATCTGGAAGACCTCGGCAGAAGGTAATTCAAATTGAATCTCAACAGTAGATTATCCTGGTTGATCATGATAGTTAATTATTTAGAAGACCTCGGCAGAAGGTAATTCAAATTGAATCTCGATAGTAGATTCTCTTGGTTGATCACAACAGTTAATTATCTGGAAGACCTCGGTAGAAGGTAATTCCAATTAAATCTTGGCAGTAGATTCTCCTGGTTGATCACAGTAGTTGATTATCTGGAAGACCTCAAAAGAAGGTAATGCCAATTGAATCTCGACAGTAGATTCTCCTGGCTGATCACGGCAGTTGATTATCCAGAAGATCTCGATAGAAGGTAATTCAAATTAAATCTCAGCAGTAGATTCTCCTGGTTTATCACGGCAGTTGATTATCCGGAAGACCTCGGCAGAAGGTAATTCAAATTTAATCTCGGCAGTAGATTCTCCTGGTTGATCACGATAGTTGATTATCCAGAAGACCTCGGCAGAAGGTAATTGAAATTAAATCTCAGCAGTAGATTCTCCTGGTTGATCACGGCAATTGATTATCCGGAAGACCTCGACAGAAGGTAATTCCAATTGAATCTCGGCAGTAAATTCTCCTGGTTGATCACGACATTTGATTATCCAGAAGACCTCGACAGAAGGTAATTCAAATTGAATCTCGACAGTAGATTCTCCTGGTTAATCATGGTAGTTGATTGTCCGAAAGACCTCAGCAGAAGGTAATTTACAAACGAATCTCGGTAGTAGATTCTCTTGGTTGAACACGACAGTTGATTATCCGGAATACCTCAACAGAAGGTAATTTACAAATGAATCTCGGCAGTATATTCCCCTGGTTGATTATGACAGTTGATTATTTGGAAGACCTCGGCAGAAGGTAATTTCAATTGAATCTCGGCAGTAGATTCCCCTGATTGATCAAGGCAGTTGATTATTCGGAAGACCGCGGCAGAAGGTAATTTCAATCGAATCTCGGCAGTAGATTCCCCTTATTTATCATGGTAGTTGATTATCCAGAAGACCTCGACAGAAGGTAATTCTACATTAAATCTCGACGGAAGATTCCCCTAGTTGATCTCGACAAATGATTTTCCAGAAGACTTCAGCAGAAGGTATTTCTCAATTGAATCTCAACAGTAGATTCTCCTGGTTGATCATAACAGTTGATTATCTGGAAGACCTCGGTAGAAGGTAGTTTCCAACGGAATCTTGGAACTATATTCTCCTGGTTAATCATGGCAATTGATTATCCGGAAGACCTCGACAGAAGGTATTCCAATTGAATCTCGACAGCGGATTCTCCTGGTTGATCACAACAGTTGATTATCCAAAAGACCTCTACATAAGGTATTCCAATTGAATCTCGGCAGTAGATTCCTTGGAAATCTCGGCAGTAAATTTCCCGTTAAGAGCCTCACATTACGCAGTTGTGGTTGAGGGTGACACAACCAACTTCATCGTGAATTTTGTGTTCTTTTTCTTCATTTTGATAGTTGTGGTTGAGGACGAAGCAACCGACATCATTGTGAATTTAGTGTTTTCTTCATGTTGATAGCTTTGGTTGAGGATGACACAACCAACATCATCGTGAATTTGGTGTTCTTTTTCATGTATGTAGCCTTGGTTGAGGGCGACACAACCGACTTCATCGTGAATTTGATGCTTATTTTTCTTCATGTTGATAGTTGTGGTTGAGGACGATGCAACCGACACCATCGTGAATTTGGTGTTTTCTTCATGTTGATAGCTTTGGTTGAGGACGACACAACCATCATCATCGTGAATTTGGTTTTCTTTTTCTTCATGTTGATAGTTGTGGTTGAGGGCGACACAACCGACTTCATCGTGAATTTGGTGCTTATTTTTCCTCATGTCGATGGTTGTGGTTGAGGACGATGCAACCGACATCATCGTGAATTTGGTATTTTCTTCATGTTGATAGTTTTGGTTGAGGACGACACAACCAACATTATCGTGAATTTGGTGTTCTTTTTCATGTAGATAATCTTGGTTGAGGGCGACACAACCGACACCATTAGGGAATTTTTGGGTTTCATCGCTTCAAATCTAGCATATTTCATTTGGTTATCAAGTCTTGGTTGAGGGCTGACACCGTCTTTCCAAGTTCCAAATATCTGGTTTCAAACTTGTTTTATCTATCCTCTAGGCTGTGATAGATATACGAAAAAGCTTTGGCTCATTGCATTAGTCTCTAAGCAGCAGCGTATTACCAAGCTTTATGTTATTCATCCCCTAGGTTGTGATGAATATACAAAATCAACGTAACAAACTTACTATATTAGTTTCCTAGCATTCGTAGGTCAACTTTTCAAACTTGTAACATTTACCTCATAGGTTACGATAAATGTGCGAAATTTTGCAATCTCTTTTAGATATTGAGTCATCCACATCGTCATATCTAAAAGTCAAATCAAATCTTGGTTCAAACGCTGGTAGGATGATACATCATCATATATGCCTAAGGAAAATTTTAGGGTCTTCCAATATTTAATAAACTTCTGATCGAACGTGCGAGACCTGCGTATTCTCGCATTATTCAATCGAAAGATGATTAAATATGGACAACTGTCATACCCCAAATTTGCCCTATCCTTATATTATATTTAGGTTTCTTGTTTTAAATCGTATCATTTAATTTTATTTCTATGGGGTTTAAAACATGGAGGAAGGAGTGTATTTAAAAAAAAAAATCAATAAAGGTTCATTTAGTTCTTTTTGAATAAGGATGATTTGTTTTTTTTATAAATCAAAGAGGACCCATATGCTATTTATTTCGTTGAGGCCCAATATTTAAAAGCAATGGCCCAATTCAAATTTTGAAGTTTGTTTTGAAAAAGTGTTTTATTTTAATTATAATATCATTATTATTAGTATTTTTTTTACTAAAATTATTGCTCATGTTAATATTTTATTATAACTAAAATATTGTATTTCAAACTTAATTAAAAAATGTTGTTTTGTTAAAAAGTAGGGATTTCTTTTTTCTCCACGGTCCAGCATCCAGGCCTTTAAGAACATGCGGTCCAAAATCAGTCCAAGCCCAAAGCCCAAGAGAAAGATTGACCCAATCTTGAGATGTAACACACTTTATTATTCATCAACAGTTACTGTTTGAATCAAAGTGTAATAAATGTGTATCCTGGACCGATTATTTTCTTTCCATTGTTCTTGGTTAACACAAAGAGAAACAAATCGTTTCTATTAAAATTACAGAAAAAAACTTGCTAAAATGAAAGTAGAAACAAATCATAATTTGTAAGCATACTAAATACAACTAAATCAGACAGCTTAATTTCTTCCCTAATTAAACTGATTCAAAAATGCTATAAGAACAAACCGAATTTACAGTAGAAAAAGGGGGTGACAGAACAAAACAGTTAACAGAGGGGAGAAATTTTTTATGGCAAAAACATTACAACAGGGAAGGAAAAATAATTACAGTAGAGGAGAAAGAACAGGAGGACTCAACCGTCATCGCCGCTCCGAAACCCTCATTCTCGCCATCCTCCGTTCACCTCCTTCGATCCCCGGAACTCCACCTCCACCTTCCGAACATTCACATCGCACGACGCCTCCCTTTCTCCGCTGATGCACCGGCCGCGACAGCGCACTGGCCCCTAGCCTCTTTCCGTTCGCGACCTCCAAACCACTGCAAACACCATTTTGGAACCCACTGATCAAAGAAACAAGAGAGAAGCAAGTACAGGGAGAAAGAGAGTTTTTTTTATGCTTTTTCTGACTTTGGCATAGAAAGAGAAGACCAAGTTATTGGAAAAGAAGAAACACCTTTTGCCTTCTTTTTTCTCTATCCGCATGTACATCATGTAGCAGGTTTTTAGCTTCTTTTTTTATTTTTTTTATTTTTTAAATCACATGTCAAGTGTCATTCTAGAATTCGTTCGTAAAAAAATTCAGATCAAATAATTGGTGATGCACTAGGGCAGCACTTTTCCCCTTTATACAGGGTTTTTCTTGTTCTATTTTTTATTTTATTTTATTATAGAATTAGGGTTAGTTTATTGGATTCAAGTTAATTGGGCCTATAAGCTTTTTTTTTTAAATACACCACTCAACTTCCTATTTTTACACACCTTTTAGTTCAATTAATCCAATTTTTTTAAAGTTATTTACTTTGACTAATTTAATTAAGTTAATAGTTAGTTTATTTTATTTAATTATTATTTAAAAAATAATAATAAAAAGTATAAGATCTAAAAAAGATAGGTATATTTTTTATTTGATAATTAGGTTATTTGGATTAATTTTCAACATTCTATAAATAATATGAATATATCTTCAAGTAATTAAATTGGTCGACGTATTGTCTACCAGTTTATTATTCAAAATCAAATATAAAAACTCACACGGTTTATCAAATTCTCCATCCACAAATGACATGTGGTCGATATCTGACCACGTGATGAGGGGACTAAATCAGACTTTCTCGCCCTACGTCTTAATACAACTAACAAACATCAAATCAACTCTTTTACTAATATAATCAAATTTATATTTTTTTTTCCAAAAAGGGTTGTATTAATATCTTTTATCGACTGCGAGCTATATCCACGATTCCGCAATTTACAAACCCGGATTTGGTTCAAAGGGATTCAAGGTATTTTTACGATCCATTAAAATCACACACAAAACCGCGAACTACGAAATAGGACTTTGATTCCTTCTAAGAGGATACGTAGGCATACGATTAAAATCGTGGCGAGTTCCCCGGATTAAAATTTAAACCATTTCCCTATTAAAAATAAAAACTCTATTTTCTAAAAATTGCTATTCTAAACCTAGTATCCTTGTAAACAAGTAGATGAGGGTTATTCATTTACACTCAAAAACCAGTTGCAACAGCTGGCGACTTTGTTGGGGACTGAAGTTATTGATTATTGAATATTAATGAAACATGAAGTTACTGATTAAAATACTTAATCTTAACAAAAACACAAAATTAATAACCAAAATATTGAATATTAACAAGAACATGAAATTACTTATTAAAATATTTAATCTTAACATAAACATGAAATTAGTGATCAAAATATTTTAAAATTAATAAGAACATGAAGTTACTAATCAAAATATTTTGAAATTCACGAGAACATAAAATTATTAAATAAAATATTAAATATTAATGGAAACATGAAATTATTAAATAACATATTAATTATTAATGAAAATATGAAATTACTTTCTGATCAATTCTTTTAATTAATTATACATTCAATTAATTTTTTTCTCAATAACACTTAAATGACATTACTGAACAAAATATTATTAACAGAAATCCGTTTTAAATCAAAAACTCATTCATTAATGTATTTACAATATGATAGATCAAATTTAATACAATTCATTTGAAATCAGTTTTAAAAATCTAAACTTTTAAATTAATAATAATATCATAAAGACATGATAAAAATAAGAGAAAATAGGATATGCCATGATATTGTAAAAACTAATCACATATATGACATGATTAAATGATGAATTCTCATTAATTGATTTTATAATATCAAAACACTACTTTTTAACTCTAAAAATAATAAGTTGGGTATAAAATTTAATATTAATAAGTGAAATTTATCAATAATATTTTAGAAAATTCAAGTTAAATATATAAGTTGTATAAAAAATTAAAAATCAAAAATCAACTAATAATAATATATTAATATAAGTACATGATAACAAATAGTTAGACCTATGGTATTGATCTATAGCGTATTCCTCAATTCACCTAACACTAGCCATCTCCTTTGTCATACATTATTCAGTAAATAAAGCATGGCAGTTCACCAAAAAAAATACAAAGTCATGAAATAATTTCGCTTTTGAATGAAGATAAATCAGAAAAATTAACATTTTTTTTACAGAAACAGAGTTTCGTGTTTTTCAATCTCAGCCCACAGAAATAAGAGATTAATAGAAAAGATAAACTGAAAAGAAGAAAAAAAATTAAACAAAACTGTAGATTGAAAACAATTGAAAGGTACAGTCAAAACTTGCAGTCAGTTATGATTGGCTGTCTCAGCCTGTTTTGCCCCGACGGAGAAGAACTCAGTGATCACTTCTAGTGGCATGCCTTTGGTTTCTGGAACTTTCAAGAAGACAAACACCCAAGCTATGAAGCACACGATGGCATACATACCAAAAACACCACCAAGGCCTACAGAATTCAGCATAACTGGGAGTGAATAGGTGACAATGATGTCACATATCCAAAAGGTAAGAGCACATATGGCAATGCAGAGACCACGGACTCGAGTTGGGAAGATCTCAGCACAAAGTATATTCGGAACTGGCCCAAATCCCATGACAAAGAAACAGAAATAAACAACAACACTAACGGTTGAGATTGATGCATTTGCAGTGTTGCCCAAATCCACAAGACTCCCTAGGACTAATATCAGAAGAGCTACTATCAAGATGGGGATTGTTGTGAGCAGCAAAGTCCTGCAAGAATTTCAATAAAAAGTGAGCAAATATTAAACACAGTGCCTTACATTTGTTAAGAACAGAGAGTTATAAGGTGGTTTTGAAGGGAGGGGCATAAGGATTAAAATGATACAGAAGCCGTCCACTAACATAACAAATTAACTGTTAAAAAAAAAGACATTGATAAATGTAATGTAACCATAGAAAGATACTTCTTTAAACGACTCAACATGAAAAACCCTACAGTGCTACAATAGCACAATTTGAGCACCTTCAGTAAATACCTTCTTATATAATCACAAAAAATAAATAGAAGAAAAGTTTTTTCAAAATAAAATAAAATAAAGAAGGCAATGGAACCAGTATAAATATCAAGAACACAATGAAACTTGATACAACAATAGAGTAAAAATTGTCAAACCCGCCTTGTTATTGACATCAATCTGAGATTATAGAAAAAAATGTAATAGACATAATATTTTGAAGAGAAAACCCCCCAACATACATCCACCTCTTGAAACATATTTCTACCCATGTGAGCTCAGATGTCAAAAGAAAATAGTAGAGGGGAGATGGATACCTTCTGCCAGAAATATCCATGAGCCTCATGGCAATAGCTATACAAGGGAGCATCAGTAAGGTTGTCACTGCACTAATTAGAAAAGATGATGAAGTAGAACTAAGGCCCAGGTTTGAAAGAAGAAAACCAACACCTGCCTGCTCAAGAATTTGTGGTGTATAGTAGAGGACTCCATTTATACCGGAGAACTGCATTGATTCAAAGAGGAGCTAAATCATAGTCCAGCATAAAATTTAACCACTAACATAGTCAAGCACTAAATGTTGGTTCATGAACAAAATGTAATTGTTTTAATTGGAAACTTCAGCGGGTAAATCGTCCCTAAGCTGGAAATATGTTATCAATACTTCGGTTTTCATTTTTTTCTTCTGATTTTCTTCAACAATAGAATACATCAAGTATAGGTGATCCTATAGTAACATTGTCATCCACTAGATAAGGGTTAGCTTGATTTCAAACTTCCTCATTGTTGATCATCTTTAGTAAAGCAGTAATAAGACAACCCACACAGTATAATTTATTCAACATCATCACTGACGCTAGGGATTTTTATTATTAGTTTTCAGAAAATGAAATGCTACTGATTACATATAATAATAGGAAATCCAGTCAGGATATAATAATAATCTAGCATGCCAAAATTATTTTTGGCACCAAATTAATCAAAGCTGGTTTTAATATCATATACCATTAATTGATATATACTATTAACTAAGAAACAGTATGATAGAGTCTTAACTTGGGTGGTTTGGGCATATGCGAAGAAGATCCATAGAAGTATCGGTAAGGAAGGTTGACTAAATGAAAATAGTAGTTCAACAGTTAAAGTGAGAGTAAAATGAAGAAAAACTATAGGCCAAACCATTACGAGAGATTTTTTAAAGGTAAATGGTCTATCTTTGAACTTAACGGACATTGTGTGTTGTTTGATCCATGTAGGAATTTCATTGAAGTTGAAATGAAATTTCCAATTTCATTGAAGTTTATTTAACACAAGTGTTTTTTTAAGAAAGGAATTTCATTAAAGTTATAGATACAATGACGTGCATAATTTTTTCATTAATCAATGTCAAGTTTTTTTATTTTGCCGAAGAAAAATTTGGCTTGAATCATTTCCACACCCTCTCCTAATTTTACATTTGGGAACAGACTTGCTCTCACAACTGAAATGGACCAAATATACCTAAAAAATTTAAGCTATTGGGTGAGAGCATGTGAATGATTTTACACACATAAATCAACTACAATAATTTCACTCCCACAACATCTGCAGGTCAAAACTTGGACAGATGCATTTTAAGAGAAATTGTATGCATTATATTCAAACCACTAACACTGATTTATGCCACTAAGCAAGGTATACTACTTGTATAGAACAATCCAAGCTCAATTAGCAGAACATGAAGAGTCCTAGCAATCTAAGAAATGTAATACAGAGGGTATCATTAAAAACTTATAGTTAATTTGTTCCATAGGGGTAATAGAGCTAGAAGCTGACAGTGAATGAAGTCTCTGCCTGTTAAACATTTTCAAGGAAGTGACTAACATGAAAACAAGAAGCATTAACAACCAGTTGGAGACAAGACTGAATATTTAGTTTCATCACAGAAAAAAATAGAACTAAAGCACAACATTACTACAGATGGAAACAAAAAGCATAGCAAACATGTTATTACCTGCTGAAGAATTTGAAGTCCCACCCCTACGAATAATGCATGTTTCACCCCCGGTTCAAAAAGATCATTCCAACTTGGCCCTTTTGCAGCTGTTTCAGATGGATGAATCATAGCAGGTCCAACTGGCTGGTGATGCATGAGGTCCTTGTTATAAAGAGCTGGTTTACTCACAAGAGCAGCAGTCTGTACAGCATCACCATCTGTTGGAAAATCACCAGCAAGTGAAATGACAGAGCCACGTCTAGATCCAGTAGCACCACCCTCTTGGTGTAAATATATTCTCTTGAAAGCGCCTTCCTTCTTTCCATCTGGGCCTTCATGTTCAGACCATTTCCAAGCTAACTGCCAACCACCACCAATTCCAGCACTCCCAGCAGGCTCTCCTACATTACTACCTTGCCTGATGTTTGAAAGGCTACCATGTGCATGACGAGGCAGGTCCTTATCCGTACTAGTTTCTTGACGTGAGATCAATGGACTGTGCAAATTGTCATCAGAATCACCTGCAGCAGCATCGGAGATATAGTCATCCCCCTCTCTAGCAAGGCTTTCTTCATCCCAATCTTCATTCCTAGGATGATTTCCACCAACACTGAACATGCTTCCAAAGTGTGGAAAAAGAGCGCTTCCCATTCTTCCATTTTCCGGGAGCTTCTCATGGACACTACCAAATAGGGTGACCAAAGGGTCGACTAGACCACTTGGATTTGCCATGCTTCCTAACCTAGATAACGTGGCAAGGGAACCCTGTCCAGCAACAGGTCTGGCAAGCCAGGACTGACCCTGTTCAGCCCCATACAAGGTGATATGATCTTTAGCCTTAGAGGGATCCTCTTGATCGGGTAATTCATTGGCGGGACCAATTATGTAGTCTTCTATGGATGTATCAGCACCGGTTCCAAGACCCTCGACCAATAAAGCCATCTCACCTGGGCATGCAAGGAGAGAGTTAGTAGTATTAAAAGAATAGAGAAAAAGAAAGAAAAAGATGAAGAAAAGAACAAACCGGAAACGTCTTGGCATCCACGAAGGCCCTGCAAAACATTTTTAGCCTCGAGCATTCGTCCTTTACTGACAAGCCATCTTGGAGACTCGGGCAATAAGAAGACGGTGAGTGCAAAGTAAAAAAGAGAGGGGATGGAAAGAACACCCAACATGAGTCTCCAGCTGGGAGAATTGGCGAGTGACATCCCAAAGACCATACAGTAGGAGAAAAACATACCAGCAGAACCGGTAAACTGTGGAAGTGTATTGAGTAATCCCCTAATCTCAGGAGGAGCGATCTCAGAAATATAAAGGGGTACCAAGGTAACAGCCAAACCAATACCGAGACCATCTAAAAGTCTAGCAAAGAGGAGTATGTAAACATTTGGAGACCAGAACATGACGAGAGAACTCAGAAAATAAAGGAGGGAGGAGATGATCAACATGGGGCGTCGCCCAAGTAAGTCCGACAGGGCACCGGAGCATGTAGTAACCACGGTGGCTCCGATAAGTGACATAGCCACAATTAGGCCTTCCACGGTGGGTTCACTTTCTAATTTAAATTCCTTCTTTATGTATAAAATAGATCCTGCAAATAAACAAAGTTAATATAGAGACATGATACGATAAAGATCGGGAAAGAAAGAAAGAGCAACCTGCAATAGTAGCATTATCCCATCCTTGAAGTAAATTGCCGATGGCAGCGGCAATAGCAACAACAACGGCTCCACTCATGCTGACAATCTGAAACAACGAGAGAAATGAGATGGAGATAAGAGCATCTACGGTTCACTCACTCACTACAACAACTTGTGTGTGGTGGGATGAGATCATGAGAGTGACCTATTTCCTTCTCTTTCTTTTTTTTTTTTAATATTACAATATAAAATATACTCTGTCACTGCGGGAAGAAAGAGAATAAACCGATCCTATTTTCTTTGCAGCTAATGGAAACCAAATGGAGCCCCCTGTTTTCTTTGCAACACACCCTCACTGCTCAACACCTGTCCCCTTTCTTTTCTCTCTAACATTTTACGCTTCTATAAAAATAGTAAAACTAATCTCTCTTTTTCATTCACTTTTTTAACTTTTACATTTTTTTAATCATTATTTAATATGTTTCTAATATGTCGTTGAGATTTAAAACTCACAAGAGACATTTCATGTTGACTCAAATGAAATAAAAAGAAACGATAAACGATTACATGACATGTATTACGCATTTGATGAATCAAATCAAGACGTGTGGAAAAATTATTTTGGAGCAGAATGTTGTATCGAGGATCTTGCGTTCTTTAACGTCAAGATTCAACAATATTGTAGTGGCAATCAAAGAGTCGAAGGACCTTTCTTCATTGAGAAAAGATGAGTTTCAAAACTCCCTTGAGGTTCATGAACAAAGAATGGATGCAAGAGGAAACTATAAAGCTAAAGCGGAGATTGCTTTACAAAGAATGAATGAAAGGAGATTGACAAGAGTGGTGTGAAGTGTTATAATTGTTACAGACTTGGTCATTTCGCAAGAGATTGTAATGCAAGACCAAGGGAAAATCAAATGGATGAGGCTAAGGTTGCGAGGCAGGAGGTGGATGATGAAAACATGCTTATGGTTATAATAACATAGGAGAATTATGGCAGAAATAAGCTAATGGACAACAGCAATAGCCGAAGCAAGTTGTTGGGCGGCAGCTGCAGCAGTTCGAGGAATATTGCAGAAACGCGTTCGCAGCAAAACATTATGGTAACAGTTCGAGATGGAGTCAAAAGCAGTGATGAATGATACTTGTATTCTGGTTTCTTAACACATATGACAGGTGAAAAAGATTGGTTTGTCAAAATCAATAAAGCCACAAAGAATAAGGTGAAATTCGCGGACGATACCACTTTAGCGATTGACGGGGTCAATGATGTTTTGATCATGAGAAGAGATGTTGGCCATTTCTTGATCAGAGATGAGTTATACATTCCTAGAGCTAAATATAATCTCTTAATTATTGGTCAATTACTTGAGAAGATTTACAAATTTTGCATGGAAGACAAGATTTTGCGTGTTTTGGGTCGAAACAGGGTTTTAGTCCTTAAAGTGCTATGGTTGCCAATAGGACTTTCAAGATAGAGTTTAAAGTGATGGAGCATAGGTGTTTAGCTACAACGGCAAGTCGAGAAGAGTGGTTGTGGCACTTTCGTCTTGGGCATCTCAATTTTCTAGACATCGACGCGTTATAGAGGGATGGTATTATAACCGGGTTGCCGAAATTCATTATTCCAGCTAAGATATGTGATGAGTGTGTGCAAGGGAAGCACCATGATCAGTGGTTTTTCCACCTTTATTTACAGTTGATTTTAGTTATAGTTTTTTTATTTTAGCAAGTGTTTTATTTTATTCTTTTATGTTTTATGCGTTGGTTGTGTATTTTGTTGTTTTCGGGTTCAAAGGAATAAAATCAGGAAAATCAGCGCGAAAAGTGAAAATTCAGAGTTTTGGAGGAATTCTCAAAAACCAAGCTATAGGGTGCCTGACACAGCCACCCATGTCGCTTGACGTGGGTCTTGTCAGGAGAGGATGCATAACTACACTTTGGGAGCAGAGGCTGACACGGGTGCCCGTGTCAGAAGGTCTGGGTGAGAGTTATTGTTGGAATGATGGATAGAGGCCGACACGGGTGCTCGTGTCAGGTGATACGGCCCGTGTTAGCCAGGGCGCTGATTTTGAGTGTTTTCATGATTTTGTATGATTTGGGACCCAGAGGGGCGTTTTGGGCATTTCTGACCGAGACAAATGGATTGTGCACTATTTAGATGAGTTTGGAAGAAGAATTAGGGGCTTTTTGACGGGAGAAGATTAGGAACGATAAATATTGGGGCTTTCCAAAGATTTGGAGATGAAGATTCCTTCATGAGCGATAGCAATTGAAGATCGAAGAATCCTCACCTTTTATAATGTCTAATTTTATTATTGCTTTTCTTTTTAATACGATGAGAGGCTAAACCCCCCAATGCTAGGGGGTGTCCCTGATTTGCAAAGGTATTGATTTTGAATCCTTGGTATTGATACAATAGTTGCTTTTCAATTTAATTGTTCAATGTTCTTATGTCTTTCCTATTGGACAAAAAGGGATTGATCCATGGTTAATAATTAGGATTGGACCGTCATTGTTAAGGTTTTTGAACAACTAGACTATAGTAGATATCACCTAGGACTAGGAATACCCTATAGGTCCCCGGTAAAATCTTGATAAAATAATTGTTTGGTTTCATCATAATTCACTAAGGACTTAGATATTAGGATGAACGACTAAAGGTTTTCTCACTAAGGACTTAGGAGAAAACAAACTAAAGATTTGGTAGTTGAAATTAATGAACTTGTTGAAGAGATCAAGAGTGGGGGTTAATACAAGGTCAAATTACACATTTACCCTAGTATGCTCCTCATATCTGTTAAAAAGCTATTTTATCTTTTTGTTGATTAAGTGACAATTACAAAAACTTATCCCAAAGTAAAACTTTTGTTTAATTGAACCAAAAATTAAACTCAATACTGATACGCAGTCATTGAGATCGACATTCGGGGAATTTCCCTATTATTACAAAGGGAAAAAAATAGTACACTTGCTATTTTTCCTATCAAGTTTTTGGCACCGTTGCCGGGGACTGAGTGTAATTTGAGTTCAATTAAAATTTTGTTGCTCTGCAACTAAAATTTCTTTTATATAATTTTTATATTTTTGTTATTACTGCTTTTTCCTAACCTTTTCATGCAAGGAAAGTCTCAGCTGAATTTCCTTTTGGCACAGAAATCGAAAGAACTTTTCACACAAGGCGCAGACAAGCTCGGCTAGTTAGACATGAATTAAAAGGTTCATCATATCATTCAGGTTCAGAGTCTGAAAAGAAAAAATATAATGGTTGAAGACCTACCACTACCAGAGAGACTTCTTGGAGATTATGGAGGAGCAAATGCTCAAGCAGGTCGACTGACTATTTTGAACCAACTGGTCAATGTTGCAAATTTTCAACTGCATCCTTCAACCATCCGCCAGCTCGAGAATAGATCTTTCATCGGAAAGATCAATGAAGACGCCAATAAGCATTTGTAGAGATTCCTTACCATGAGTACTACTTTGAAGGTTGGGGGGCACTCTGAAGAAGCCAAAAAATTAAGGATGTTCCCGTTCACACTGTCTGAAGATGCTGGATAGTGGTTTTACTCATTGCCTGTTGGAAGTATCACCACTTGGGAACAAATGGAGAAGACTTTTCTTGATGAGTACTTTCCTGCTTTTGTCTATATTTACAAAAGATATGATATTATGAATTTTAAGCAGAAGGAAGGAGAGTCGCTAGGTGATGCTTATAAGAGGTTCAAGAGGTTATTGGTAGCCTGTCCCACTCACAACATGGGTCAAACTAAGCAAATGAAAATGTTTGTAAATGACCTCAGAATGAAGACAAAGCAGCTTATTGATACAATTGTCAGTGGTTCATCCAACTTTAAAACATCCACTGGTGTGAAGAAGATTATTGAAGCCATTGCTGCAAATGAACATCTGGAGCTATATGACATAGTTGTAAGAAAACTAGAGGGAGTGATTGATTTGAAGTTGGAAGTGAATAAGCAACTAAAAATTGAAGAGTCTATTGTTGCAGAAGTGGAGAAAAAGCTGAAAGCAATGAATATGGGTACTCAACAGGTAGCTCAAGTTCAACAAGTACAAAAGGTTATTTGTGAAATTTGTAGTGGACCACGCCTTACTGTGCAATGTCTTGCAACTCCACAACAAATTGAGAGGATAAAATTTTTGAGGCAAAATAACCTATATTCTAACACCTATAATCTTGGATGGAAGAATCGTCCTAACTTCTCCAGGAAAGATCAGCAGCAACAAGCTCCTCAGAAGGCAGAGTGGGAGGTGGATATTAAAAATATGGCTGCCCACACCTCTCAATTTCACGAAGAGGCAAGGAGTAATCACAAGAATACCACAACTGTAATAAAAAATTTGGAAGTTCAAATGGGACAGATTGCACAACAAGTAGCGATGCGAGCACAAGAAAATTAGAAAAATTATGAGAATATTAATGTTGTCATAACAAGGAATGAGAAAGATGTTGAAGAGAAGAAATATAATCTAAAATTTGATGATAATATCATAGAAGTAGAGTTGGAAGTGAGAGAGAACAGGAAAAAATAGGAAGAAGTGGTCTCACCTGTAAATCCAGTTGAAGAGAAGACTAAACCAGTGATCAAGTTACCGCATCCATCTCGAGTGGCAAAGAACGACATAAAAGAGAAAGAGTTTGATAAATTTGTCCAGTTGTTCAAATTCTAGAGATCAATATACCATTCTTTGAAGCACTCGAGAAAATGCCTTTGTATCAGAAATTCATGAAGGAGGCATTATCAAAGAAGAGATCAATAGAAGGGGGATCGGTACCCCGTGATGAGAAATTGTGTGTAATTGCACCCGAGAGGAAAATACATGTCAAGTAGAAGGATCAAGGGTCAGTTGCATTACCATGAACCATAAAAGACAAAACTTTCAAGAGGGTTCTGGTTGATTCTGGCTCTAGTGTAAGTTTAATGCCATTGTCGATTTTCAAGAAGCTTGGTATTGAGAAGATAAGCGGGAGTAGGACAAATTTGAAATTTTCTAATCACACCATCAAGCATTCATATGGGATAGTTGAAGATGTATTAGTGGAAATTGACAATTTTGTTTTCCCAGTTGATTTTC